GAAGCTCAGATAAAATCACGCCATTTCAGCAACATATGTTAATTAGTCACTGGTATCGAATTAGAAATAAACCACGTTTGAATTTTATCGGGGGGGGGGGGGAGGGGGGAACTGTCCCAAGTCCCAATTGAGTGAGCATAGTGAACGAGAGGGGTGAAGGTAACGAAAGTAACTACCCGGTAGTACCCCCACAGGTTTTGAAGTTTTGTTGTATTACAAAATTACATTCTTTAGGAAAACTATAGTATGAAAACAAACAATATACTTTTTTTCACACTTCACTTTTCGACAATTTATACTTGAACATTTTGAAGGATATTATACGAGGGAGCATATCTTCCGAGCCAGAAGATTTTTGCATTTGTATTTGTCTAAAAACGCTGCACTCTTGGGCCTCCAAAGCCTAATAGTGTGTTGCAGTCTTTAGTCAGTATTTGCTGTACATTATTTTTTGCACCTTTTCAAATTTTCCGGGGGGACGATCCCCCCTACAAAAATCGAGGGGGGGACGTGTCCCCCCGTCCCCCCCCCCCGGGATCGCCGCCTCTGAGCACGATACCAGAATGACTTTTATCTGCCCATGCGCAAATCCTATTTACGAACTCGCTTATTAGGCAAAAAAAGAGAAAGATTTTGTATCGCCCTTTAGGTGCCAAAACATGGGTCGGTCGGTCGGAAATCTTGTTTTTTTAATTTTTTTTTTACTCCCTCTTGGGGCTTATATTTCTTAGTTTTGAATGCTTTAATACATTTTCCCCCCTAAAAAGCCGACCGTAGATTTCAAGATTTTTGGGTCGGTCGCAAAAGGGCAATACAACATCTTTTGTTAAGGCCTTACACTTACCGGTGCATTCGGGCGCCTTTAAGATTGTCTTCCCAAAGAACTTGCGATGACAACAATTTTTTTTCGTGCACGTCTTCACACCTACGTGGAGAGGAGAAAACAAAGTAGAAATGCATTGCGAATAACAGATACCTGTATGCACAGCAACATTGCGTACTTCATGGAAATGCTCATCCTGTTATTCAGTTGGTGTTGAAGAAAACAGAAAAATAAGAAAAACAGTTCAGTAGAGGTATGAGCACAATTAAAATATATGAGTCGTTGTTACGACTAAAGGGGAACTCCACCTAGAAATGTGTTCAATAGCGGCGGAAAATGAAAGACAAAACTCATTGAAGGCTTGAGCAAAATGAAAAATAAGAAAGTTATGATTTTTTTTAATTGCAAACGATCAAACACAAATTGCAACTATGTGAAGTATCTTTCGAAGTCCTCTCATTTTTGCTTGCACAGAAAATATCATCTATTACCATTTACCTTTTTTGTTTTATTTATAGTTGCTCGTGAAGAAATAATATTTTATCATACATGTATGGCTTGTGTCTTCATTATTTGTAATTATTATATCTAGTGGTATGTATGATTTTTTTAAATAGCGGAAAGAGAAATGTATGATTGTTTATTTAGTATACAGAGCAAATGGGAGAGGATATCGCAAGATACATCACAGATGTGCCAATTAATGTTTGATTGATAGAAACTTCAATGTTTATAACTTCCTTAGATATTTTCATCCGATTTTTACTGATCTGTTTTTCTCATTTTCTGCTCTTATTTGAAAAAAGAAAACAAATAACCCAATTTTATTTTCAACCAATCAGGACCGCATATTTGAGACTTGTCTTTATTAATTAAATTTGTTGAGTTGCGTTTAAACGCATTTTCTCCCCCTTTAATGCAAGATACACCTGTAGCCCGTTACATACCGCTGACGGTGTCGCACGAGGTTACGTCGTTACACTCCTTTCTGTAGAGCTTCCTAAAAGGGTTCCATAATTCCTCCATCACTGTAATGAAATTCAAGGAGAGGCCGTTGATTCCTGATTTCTTCATACACTGTTGGCCATAAAGTTGGAATGATTTCTTTCGTACCTCTTTTTTATGAAATGATTATGGCAATAATGATAATGATATTCGGTTCTTGTATATCGCGTATCACATTTAAACGTCTCTATGCGCTTCCAAATTTGGACATTTTCGCCCCGACTTTAGCTGTGCTGCCATTACGACGCTCTAGCATTTCAAGGAATTGATTCCTGCCAGGTACCCATTTACCTCACCTGGGTCGACTGGGGCAAATGTAGATTAATGTCTTGAGAAGGACATTAGTGCCGCGATGGGACTCGAACCGCGGACCTTGTGATCCGCAGTCCGGTGACATATCCACTCGACCACGACACCTCCACAATGTGGTTTATTCTTGATAGATGAAAATGATATCTTCTCAGAACTTTGCAGATGAATCTAAACAGTCGTATAGAGATTGATCAATAAAGTTCTGAGTCAGAAGATATCTCTCCACTTAATCTATCGAGAATAAACCATAGTAGCCCCCGAAATTGTTTAAATGTTTTTTCCCTGGTGACAATCATGTCATGAAAAGTAGTAAGAACTTCATGGGCAACTGTGATTTTGTTATTACAACCGGCGATTGAAACGTTATTTATCTTATTCATTTTATTCAGTTAATTTCCAAGAACATAACATCAAACGACGACATACATAGACAAAGATATCATGAATGATTACAATAATACTAAAAGAAATCAGAACAACAACCAGAGCCAGGGAGTGCCAAAAGACATCTCTTTCTTTAAAGGCTCTCCACTTTGTTGTTGGAAATTTCAATTCACTTCGTATGAACCTTTTCGGAATGTAAAAATTGTCCTACACGATTTACCTTATGAACATTTTACAAAATTAATGTTAAACATAAAACTTTCATTCATATGCAAAATAATAATTGTTAAATTAAATTGTTTCTATTTATTTTACCACGTATATATTTAAAAAAAAAGAATTGGTTACGTTTCTAAAACAGTTTTTTGATGATGCTAAAGATGTTGATGATAAAAATAGTAATGATAATGATAATAATGACTGAATATTTATACTGCACATAGAAACAAAGTATTAGGCGCATTATAAATGTGAGCTATTATTATGATATCTATAAGGCGCCACTAAAAATCAAACTCTGAAGGTGCACTTGTGAAGAAAACAATCAAAATAAATTCAGATATTATTATAAGTAAATGTACCAGTTGATATTGAACTTATTGAACTTATACTAACGAAATCCATGTCAGGTAAAAAAATAAATGCTTATATTTGGGTGGTTATGCGCCCAACCACCTCGAGGACAATTTCCTGTCCAACTTGGGTGATTTTTGCACAAGTTAAAGATGACCTTGATCGGGCAAGACATAACCCAAATTGGGAATCTAATTGCCCAAATTTGGTCGGTCATTACCCTCATGGTGGGCAATTTTTAAAAACCCAATAACATTCACATTGTGTGGACTCATAGTGTGAGGTAATTGTTTGAGATTGAATGTACGATTCTTCTTACCGGCATCATCGACCTCGAAAGATTCAGCCATGGAGTATGATAGCACCATAGCTACCACCAGGAAGACCAAGGATGCGCTCCTGAGATCCATATTGAAGTTGAGTAGGTTTGAACTAGTCTTTGGACAACTCCTAAGAAAACTTGCGAACGCTCACTGACTGACTGAGAGATCACTACACGACCGAGATCTATATAGGACAGAATAGCCACTCAGTAGATTACGTCCTTCTTTATAATAATTGAAGATCGGGTTAGGAACAGAAGGGCTATCATCTATTTTGATGTTTAAGAATGATGGATGGAAGATCCTGGATGATCATTTCTTGATGACTGTGCCATACGGTCACTGTCTGAAAGGGAATAGATACATGATTAATTCATCCTCTGCATGAATATCCGTGCAACTTAAGTCCAATTCAAATCAGTCAGGTATATTGATTGAAGGGCGATACTTATGATGGTAGTGGAGTCTCAACGCCATGTTTAGCACATTTCGACCGCTGGTGCTCCTTTACTATTACCACGGTATTATCAGGGCGGCGATAAGTTACAAGGATAGGATGAATTGGTCATGTATCTGTCCAGGCCTGTCTAGACAAAAGACCGTATGGCACAGTCAAAGGCGGCTTTATCCCTATGCCAATCCTCCCCCGATATCTCTGCCCCTCCCTTTAGCTCTCTTCCTTTTTCTTTCTTTCCCGCTTGTTCACAACGTTCCCATTTTGTCTTTCTATGTCTTATTTAATTTAATTTTGAATAGCTTTATTTGTCTTATTGCGTTTTTCTTATTTACTTTCCTTTCTCTGAGGTACCTTTTCTCTCTTCTTACTTGGTTTCCTTGCAATTACTCTTTCTTCCTTACAAGTAGCGCTAAATTAAGCACTGATCCTTTTATTTAATTTGTATACATTCGGTTATGCTGACGAAAGCACAGAACTTTTCCCTTATTTCATTATTGTTAACGTTAATATTTAGTAAAATACGTTAATTAAAGATAACCATCGCATAATCATATGCTTATGTAAATGCCTTATGCTTATTCAGATATCCTAATTGATATAAACGACCATTAATTGGGACCTATATAATGCAAGCTTTGCTTTGTAGTAGATCCCCAACTTTATTTAGCCTTTAATGTATCAATCATACTTATGATTATTCCATAACTGTATGTTTTGTCATAACTATTACCATGTACATTATGTTCCCAATATTGTATGTTCAGTTCTAATCATTACCATGAATGTTATGTCAACTATGTTGTTTTCGATAAAGTGGAAACGAATAAACTTGACAAAAACAAACAAACTACCGGGTAACCATTGACCTCATTTAGGAGGAGTGTGGTAAATGTAGAGTAATGCAGCGTTTTTTCAACCTTTTTTTTATAGTCACGGCACCCTTTTAAGAAATAAAAGTTTTTGTGTCCACCTCGATCCCAAATATTTTGTAATTTTTAATGTTATAATGCTGTAATTTTTTTTTTGGATGTGAAATAAACTGAACTTGAACTTGAAATACATCACAGAAGATTTTGCATCGCTCTGGCACTCTTCAAGTGCCATATACGCACATTCGGGCACATTTCTTTCTAAATTTTGCGAACGAGCGAAGCGAACGTTAAAAAAGGGCGTTTTTTAAATGGTTAACAAAATATTAAGTAATCAACACCCAGATAAGATTTGGAATAAGCGTTTTTCAAAATTGTTCAAAATTGTTAATATAAATAAAAGGACATCTGAGCCGCTAAAGGGACTCGAACCGCGTACCGTGTGGTTCACATTTCAGAGACTTATACAATGGAAAACAACACCTCTACATCTCTGTAACTCGATATCATCAACAAAATACAAAGGTCGCTCGTTTTAAGGGGTCGGCACGAGTCAGATGTGACGCCCCTCCCCCAATCCGTCAGTGAAATCGAAGACACAATCAATCCATTCTCTGCATATTATATCCTTGTAAGGTAACTCCAATTCAGATCAGTTATGAGTATTGAAAGAGATATCATCTACAAAAAGGATATATGCGCCCATGTTATGTGGAGTATAGTTATGATAGATTGGATTAGAATATTAATACCCACCTTTTGATGACACTGTTCTCTTCATCAACCCAATTTTCTATAGGCGAGAACCGTGGACAATCCAACCCTTGTAATAAGTTCATTTGAATGAAAGCAGGACTAAACAGAGTTACAGAAAGGCGAAAGTTTAAAATAAATCGGACGAATAATAGGAAAATTATGAATGTTTGACATATGAGTTCACTACAGCTATGCGAATCTCAAATTGACAATTGTGTAAGTGGATTGTGACGTAGTGACGGATAACTCTCCCGATTGTCGTGTACAAAATTATCACTTATTTCTGTTTTTCTCCCAAGGGCATTCATCCTTGGGCACTAATCAAAATTTATTATGGAGAGTATGTTATTAACAGGTCCTCTAAGAAGAAAAGACCATTTCGAGTAAAAACGTTTATGAGGGGATTAATTGCCCTTGAGTTGATTTTCGAAAGTCTTTGCAATCCCAAACAGCTGAAATTGTAAATATGTTTTTAGTCGCGTGGCTCCCGGCTAAAGTTGATAACAGCCCCTCCCTTTTCAGCTTGTGATCTCCATCTCTCTTTCCTCAGCGAGAGAGAGAGAGAGAGCATGTAGTGGTCCCAAGCCCCTCCCAAATGATTCCTTTCAAACTATACCGATTAAAAACAAATGTAGCCCTGTATATGCTGGGTATTTTGAATGCGAATGTGGCTCTCTCACCCTCCTTTCTCCGTCTGGCGCGATGTGTCCTCCTCCCCCCCCCCCCCTTCCCCTTTTCATCCCTCTCCCCACCCCTCTCCCCCTATTTTCTCTCTCTCTTTCTTTCTTCTTCAATCAGTCATTCAATTTACCTCTATCACTCTTGCCTTTTATTTATATACTACCTCTACATGTTCACTTATCCCTCTCGGCCACCCCCCCCCCCTCTCTCTCTCTCTCTCTCTCTCTTCTTGGGTCGAACCATGTCTCCTTCATTGAACAGACCACGGAAACTCTTCAGAAACTCCTCCTCAGAATCAAATAAGTTAATAAACAGGCCTGTAGAGCTTATAATCAGGATAATCGAATAGTACCATACGGATGGATTCTTCCCTTTCAACCAATCAATCAAATTTAAGATCATATTAACCGGATTCTAATCGAACATACGGCAGGGTATAACAGATAACATTTCGGATATCTTTGACAGATTTCTCCATCAATAAATTGTCGCACTCATAATCGAGTGATTGGAAATACCACTGTGACCGTTTATAAGTCTATGGTAATAGTATACCGCAATATAATTTCAGATATTTTTGATGGCCTACATATCATTTTTAGTGCCATATTATAGGTTCTACGTTTTACCCATTTTTAGATGGGATGTAATAATGTTAATAAATCTGGATTTATGTAGGGCTAAATACGAAATACTGTCTCTCTAAGCGCTTAAAGGTATAGACCAGTATGGGAAATGGTCTCTAGATTAATTCACGCACAGTGTGCACCATCTCCCCTGCCTGCGGATTTGACCTACCATCTGGTCACCGTAAGGGCATATGGCAATAACAATCACAAGGACTCTCGTCATCCTATCGGGTACCCATATCTCTATAGGCTATAGAGTGACAAATGTGGATTTAATGCCTTTTTAAGGACATAAGTGCCGTTCCGGGGATCAAAACTTTGCACTTCATTTTCATTCAAGTGCTCAAAGCACTCGACTATGACACATCTAAAAGTGCATGTGCTTTGAATAGGTGAGCACACTTGTCGTACCTACTCAATTTTTGGTTAAATTTCATATTTTCATTTCAAACTTCTTAAAGCACGAGTATAGTGTCATAACATTATGGCCCAACAATGTTTCATTACATACTATTTCAAGCTAAAAATCAATTTATTAATCGTCTTCTTATCTTAAAGCCCCTCTAAAGTGTTGTGAGCATGGGTGTCGATCCCGGGGGGGATGGGGGGCGGGGGGATATATCCCCCCCCCAATATTTCAGGTGGGGGGATGGCCTGTACAATCATCCCCCCCCCCCATAATTCACCATCAAAAAAAAAAAAAAAAATGAAGAGAAAAATTAAGGATGAGAGCCCGATGAGAGTAGTTAATGGTTATTACTCGCAAGATGACCATCAATATACACATTTTGCTATCTCATTTTCATAATACATACATATAAACGAAGTAAATAAGACAACCGTACATGAGACAAGAAAAAAATGAATTCTCGCTTATACGGCTTCATCAGGAATTGATGAATTTATTCAATTTGTTCAATCAACAGCATCATAGAAATGCAGTGCGCCAAATGCAAAGACGCAGCGTTAAAAAGCAACGAGCTAAATGTTATGCTACGGTCACAAATGTTCATACGAACGATTCGTTCGTACGAATCTCCCTGTTCCTACGAATTTCAGAGTTCGTAGAGATTCGCAGATGGTGCATAGTTTCTTACGTCCTTCTTACGGAGTTCGTACGAACGCCGTTTAATTCGCGAGAACAACTCAAGACCTTCTTGAGAAACGAAGTGATTTTCGGTTATACAATGGCCCCAGAGTTCGTACGTTTTCGTAAGAACGCCTTGTGTTCTTCTTACGTCAGACTTACGCCAATCTTATGAGTTTTGTTCTCGCAAGGTGTTCGTACGTTTAACTCACGGCATTCACAAGTCATTCGTAAGAAGATCTTACAAAAAAAAACCTATTTGGTCGGGTTGCAAAAAAAAACGCTGCCGTATACTGTCGAAAATTCTATGACTGTTGAAAGTTTGATATTACACGATGACAGTATTACCAAGAAGACTACAACTGCAACTGCAACTCCATAAAATGTTTCTTGAACTTGCTGTTAGCATATCTGTTACTTCCTTTATTATAAAAGCAGTCATGTTAACCGAAGAAGTCAACAAGGTTTTGCTCTGTGGTGGCATCAAAGTCATAGGACTGCTTCTCCTTTCTTAGTTTCATCGCCGTCAAACTGCCGTCTTGATGGTTCTCCCTCCTCCTCGTCGTCGTCATCTTCCACCAGGCGCGGATCCAGGATTTCTTAGGGGGGGGGGGGCCCAAATTTGAAATTATGCGAGCCAAATATTGGTACGTAATGGTGACCAGCAGTGACGTAATGCAGGGGGATGTAGGGAGGGGTGAGTTTCCCCCCTCCCTCCTCTGCAAAGCGCGGAAGCTATATATGACGTTTCATTAAAGTATTAGAGAAAGAAT